AAAAAATGCAACACCATTCCCCAAAACTTAACTCAGACAGGTTTTGAAAAAAAAAATAAAAAAAATGGACAAGCACTTTTAACTTGAAAGACATTTAAACACTTTTTGTTGATTGAGATGTGTAAGGAAAACGTTATTACTTTTTACTAGAGTTTGAATGGATCGTAGTTGATCCGTACGGACCAGGCCCCACGGTTTGGCACGCATGAGATCCACGGATTAATTGCAAAATTAAACAACCCTCTACAATGTGAGTAAATCGCTCGCTTATGCGACTAATGCCGAGTTCACACTGCACGATTTTAGCCCGATTTTTCACTCGCCGACAGGTTTTGCGAAATCGCTGACAAATGCCCGAAATCGGAGGAAAATCGGTGCTCGTTCACGCGGGTGACAGTCTCGCTCGAGAACGAGTCTGACGCATGCGGGTTCTCGCGTTATTTCCTTATCCCTTCTTGCGTGTGTTTTGTTGTGAAATGTAGTTTGCGGACCAGACAGAGCTGTTGGCGATTCTTCCTATTGTGAAGTCATGCAATGTGAAACCCCCTGTCGCCGATCCATCGTGCAATGTGAACACAGCATCAACTGAATGCTACCCCAGATAGTCACGCAGTGTGAAAACAACGGCGATCCGACGAGTTTGAAAATCGTGCAGTGTGAACTCGGCATAAATCTTCACTCTGGGCGACTAAATGATGTCTAACATTAGCCTTAGAGTTTACTCGTCTTTTACGAGATTTTACTTTTACTTGTCTTTATCATGTTTGATCTTTCTTAGTTAGGCTAGTAGTTTTTGCTGTGGTATCGAAGAAGTACTTAGCTTTAAGTAATACATGGAAAGCAAAGTTACATTGAAACATTTTTTTCTTGCTGTTGCGAAAAACGATCCGATCCGCGACTCAAAATTCGTTTTGTGATCTGTTGAACCACTACTTTTTACTCAATGGTTACACCACATGAGTTTTAAAACTACTATTTCATTCGTTTTTCAACGTTTTTTTCTAGTTTAAATGAAAGGATCAGTAAAACTTTTTACAAAGATAAAAGACATCACCTGATGTGAAGGGAAGCACGTAATTTCATCAAAGCGCTCATGAGTCAAGATGAGACTGTATGCATGATGGGCGGGGCATTTTTGAACAGTTGATAAATATGGTGGGGGACAAACTAGTACTATGAATCAAAGAGAAACCCAGAAAGATGCTGAACATAAGAAGAGGACAGTGAGAAAAGGGAGAGGAGGAAAAACCTGTATTCGTAGAGATGGGTGTGTTAAGTAGAGCACGATACTGTTGGGTTCTGTTGATGATTAGAGGTAGAAAGACAAGGGATTACACAACAGCAGGGCAGGTTTCGAGTTGTGCAAGGATTTGGGCTGGGGGTTTGGGGTGAGAGTGAGTGAGAGAGAGCTGTACTTGTCATAAGATTCTTGCTCTCTTGCCGGGAGAGATAGTGCGGGTGGAGGGAGTTGGGGGGCTGCTGTTACTACATCTGTTCCCACCCATCACTCTCACTTTCCTGCACACACACACACACACACACACACGACAGAAAGAGCTTCTTGCACATCCTTGTTAAAACAAGCCAAACAAAAGAGGTGATTTTGGGAGACTATGAGGAGAGAATATGTTATGGTCGTGCTAGCGTGTGCGTTCGTGTATGACCATATGTGAGTTTTTTGAGCGTTTGTGTGTCAGTCAGAAGCACACAAGGGTGGAAAAGTCCTCACACGGTGCCAAACCGAGCAAGCAAGAATGCCTCTGCTCTGTCTCTCTCCATCTTGTTTCGTCTTCCATCTATCCCTCACTGCTTTTCCTCTTTCATCCTACATAAACGTCTTCAAATATCCTCTAAGCTATTCTAAAATGTGAATGCTTACCTTTTAAAAGTCACAGAAAACAAACAAAACTACTTTAAAATGGTAGAAAATATTCTAAAAAAAAGCTAATCAAAATTTTTAATATTAAGACACGGACTAAACTGATAGCATTTCTTTCCAACCAAAAAAGACAACAGGGTGTGGGTCGGAATAAGCCACTAGCTAGAACCACTGGAAAATCTTAAATGAGGCATTACAAAATTAGGCTTGCATTGCATAGATGCTAGCTAATATATTCATTTTTGACACTAGTAAATTCTAATCAAATCAGTCTTAAACCAGACTTTTTAAAACTAAAGCTTTAAAATAGCTAAAACAACTAAAAGTCAAGGTATGTCTTATTTTAATTCACCCCCAAACTTCTGTAATTCTACACTTGAATTATTTTAGTTTTACTTTTAATTGGTAACACTTTATTTTAAGGACAAATTCTCACTATTAACTAGCATGCATATTACTTGCATATTGGCTGTTTATTAGTACGTATAATGCACACGTTAATGTCTTATTCTGCATTACCATATTTTAGATAATTTTCCATACCTAAACTGAACAATTACCTTACTAACTATTAAAAAGCAGCAAATTAGGAGTTTATTGAGGCAAAAGTCATAATTAATAGTGAGACCTGGACCTTAAAGTGAGACCAAAAACTGTTTGAGAACCACTGGTTTAACATTCATGGCCAGCACTTCTGCGATGCTACACAACTGAGCAATCAGTTCAAGCAAAAAGTTGGTTTCAGCTCGACATTTCAAATGATCAGCGGCTTGTCCTTCTGTCTACTTTACCACGAGACACACATATGATGCTCTCAAGTCCAAATAGCACCTGACTATTTATTAGAGAAGCATTCCTAATCTAAATTTACCTTAAAACTTGAGCCTGAACCCAAAGTATCCACTCAAGTCACAAAGCTGCCAATGTAAGACTTAGTCAAAAACCTTGGAAGACAAAACCTTTTACTTCCTTGTAAGATGCCGATAGCTCTAGCTTACATTCAGTAGGAGCTCTTATTAAAGTAATTGGCCTGGCTTCTGGGATGCAAATGACAGAGTCGAGTGGGTTGGGCATGCAAGGATGGCTGTCAGACAATAGCTCCAAGCCAAACTGCCAAAAGTGACACATGCACTTCGAAAGCAAACAGATATGGAGCGATCGTAGTACCGATTCTCAGTTACCTGGTGGAAAGAGGTCTTGAATGGCTTTTTTTAAAGGGAAAGGAGAGGATGAAGATATAAATGTTCTCCCTGAGTGGGAGAAGGTTGAAAAAGGGACTAGTTTGCTTTGTGGTTAAACTGAGAATAGGTCAAGGCGAGGGGGTTGTGACGGCAGTAAATGCAGTGGCCATATGTTGGCTGTCTATTACAGCCTCCAGTGTCTTCCTTGACATCACCAGCGCTCAAAAGGAAACAGGAGAAATCCAGTCTCATGTGTGAAATAAGTATTAGCTCACACGGACAGATGAGGCGGTAGAGGAAGGACGCTACTCTCCCATACGCTTACAGGGAACTAACTGCCCAAAGCTCTTGGTGTAAAAGAAGAGATTCCTAGTAGCCGTTCGCATCCTTCCTCCCAATCAGTGACTCCGAGTGGCTGGGGCCCTTCCAGGAGCAGATATCCTGCCCTGACTTGCCAGACCGAGCTACACAAAACCTCACACACAAAATGACAACGTTCGGCCACCAGTTTATGCACTTGTGTGCAGTTCGCCAGCTTCAAATTTTCACGCTCAGTCTCTCTTACTCTCTGAGGGCAAAGATCAGGGTATCAGTTGAGCACTGTGTTTACAGAGACCAAGAGACTAGGGGTTGGTCTGAGGCCAAACTAGGACAGAGTGGAAGGAATATTAATAGTTCTCCCTCTCTTACTCACGTAAATCACTCATTCGAAAGTCATTCTCCCTGGAGTTGACTGTTGGGTATTACACAAGCGATGGCTCAAAGGGGAATAAGCCTTTGAACTTTACATAATGGCCTACTGAACTAGCATTGTGCTTGAGGCGAAACACAACGGGACGTTATAAACCGCATCTAAAGTAAAAAAAAAAATGTCCTGAGCCACAACATTCTCCTCTGTGTGGCCATCCACTATAAAAATCACCACAATCAGGCAAATCCTGTAACCTGATCCACAAGAACGGTGAGATTCCAAGACAATTAAAAGCTTGAATTAAGTGACAAATGTGAGATGTGTCCTGTTAAAGTTGGCATGGATGGAAATTGCGATTGGATTGTAGAAAGTGTTATTTGGTAACTGCTGCAATTGTTTCATGGTGACTCTAAGCTGATCCAATTATTGATCCAACACTGCAAGTCAACAAGTTTAGATGCACTTTTAGGGAAATTCATAAACAGTTAGATGGAGTGCAGTGCAACGACGCAGAACACAGGGTCTCTAGACATGTATTAGTACCCATGTTCGTCACCAGGTTTCCAATTAAGATTAATAAGACTTATATTTTCTTCCCTTCTGGTTCAATATGAATCCCTATTAGACTTATTTTAGTGATGCATTGTTTTTAAAGTAGCAGAAAAAAGATTTTGCAAAGCATTTACTGATTATAAAAGTCGATAAATGACAGGAAATGTGCAGATCTCAGCTCCTGTGTGCTTCATGGCAGTATTGTGATGAGTCTACATTTTGGAAGTGAGCTGTTTGGAGGACATGTTCCGGTTTAGAGAGGATGAGTTTCTGTCATTCTTCAGACATGTGAGGGTGTTACAGAGAGTAAACTTGAAATCGACTAACCAAAGAACTACCGGACAACATATTTAAACCATCATGATTCTGCAATTGCTTCCTTGTGGCCTAAACAGCCTAATCTAGTAGTGTGAGAAAAACAGACCTCTTATTAAATACTTCCTCTATAAAATCAGTTCAGTGCACCAAGAGCAGAACAGAAACAGATATGCTAAGCAAAAAACGGGTGGCTGAGCACAAACACAGACCTTTCAGTGAACACCAGCATCAGAAGTAGTTATGCTTTCATCTGACATTTTTCAATCGATTTAGACTGGTTTTAACCTTGACAAAACCAGCTTTTTAGTGTCGTCGAACACTCAGAATTATTCTCCAACACTGTAAATCTCAGTTGTTTTAATGCATTGTTTACCACAAGCTGAAGTCTTTTTGTGCGGCTGTTGTTTACGGTGAAATCCCGGTATCTTCTTCATCTCTGCAGCCACTCAAAACAGGTTTTCGGTGGATGACGAACTGCCTTGCCTCACAAAGAGGCCTCAGGCCCACACAACCATGCCTCAGCACCAGCTCAACGTCCTACCGAACACCTGAGTAAAACAACGTATTGTACCATGATGGAACAGTCTCACAGAGCAGAAAAGGTGACTTCTTTTGTTCGATTTGAGTGCGTTACTAACGTTATCTTGGCGACATCTAATGCATTTCGTTATCACTGTTACATGCCCTGCCGGTGTGTGATAAATGGCTGGGTCCTGTTCCGTGACTTTCAACAGATGCGCCACAAGTCTGAGCATGGGAGACTGCAGGCGCTGGAGAAAGCCAGGCCATGACTCACAGAGCGCTCGGAGTCAATTATCTGAAAACTAAACATGCTCCTATGAATAGGCGTCAGTTTGAGCACATCCAAAGTAACAATCTATCAGCCCTGAGAATTTCATACCATACTGGCGGCGTATGACCTGAGAAATGGCAGTCAGAGGCTGCTTGTTCCGAATTAGAATTCTGTAATTCTGCTGTATTTTGTATAAAAGAATGTCTGTCTTTCAGGAGCATCATTCTTTCGCCTAGATAACACAGCTGTTTTACAGAAGAGAATGTTGACCTTTGACCCTGCTACCTGAGAACACTTCAGAACGAGCAAAGGAAAATGTAGCTAACAACTCTCATTTAGACTCAACAAACTGTTCAATTAACAATCTAGACGAATAAAATACGATTATTTATAAGATACTTTATACTACCTTTCCTCTTTACAATAAGGTTCTATTTGTTAACATTAGTTAATGCAATAGTTAACACAAAATAACAATGAACAATCTTTTTGTTTACTTTGGTTAATGTGAATTTCTAAGCAAATAAGGTAATATAAGTTTTTTAATTAAAAGTGGTACAAAATAAATCAAATGAATTACGTAATATACTATGGACAAACATTAAGAATTTACAACTGTATATAATAAATTAACATTAACCTACATTAATGAGAGTATACCCCATGTATTAACTAATGTTAACAATTTTTAAGTTGATTTTGTTAATGCTTTTCAATCTTTTGTTAACTTTAGTTAATATATTAACTAACATGAGCAATATATGTTGTACAATTATAGTACATGATGATCATGATATTTAATAAAAATACAAGTGGTCATTGTTTGCTCATGTCGGTTCACAGTGCATTAATTAATGTGAACAAATAAAACTTAATTTTAAAAATTAGTAAAGTACATTGAAATAAAAATGGTCACCACAATGGTAGTTTCTATCTTTATCTTTGACATTTCAACGCCTGGACTGATGACAAAATTCTGGCCTTTGTCTGGTATTTTGTCTTTACATCTACTAGCATTCTTTTTCTTCAAAGCAACAAACACAAATACATTTTTCAGATTCCTCCCTGCATCTTGAAGTCATGTCCATAACCACCCTACCTGAACCGAAAACCATCTCATGTTTTCAGCACAAGAGTCTTAAAACAAGACAACGCCACACTGATAGATCCCAGCTTCATGCAGCGCACGTTAGCATGTATATGAAGTGCATGTGACATCTGAAGAGCTGAAAGCAGATTACAAAGTTCAAGCTTAAAGGTTTCTGTGCTTTTATAAAGCAAAATAATAAACTGTGACTTGACAAATAGTAGATTTGCACATTGTTTTGTTTACCTAACTCAATTTCAAAAGGATCCAAAGCCTATTAAGCAGCACGCATGGCTAGCTTCACTGTTTTTGCAGTTATGGGTCGCATGCACACTGCAAAAGAGTGGAAGAGCTGAATTTGATGAATGACAGAGCAAAGGAATGTGTGGCATACTATGGAGTATGAGCTGTGCTGTGACTGTAAAACAGCGAAGATGAACAGACATGTGGATGAAAGGATGAAATAAAGAAGAAGAGATAAAACTCAAAGTTTCAGGTGAAACTTGTGGGCGGGACTTGACAAGCAGGCCAGTCATCCATGCTGCATGTGCAAACAGTGAGGTTGCTCACGCGGACAGGCAGCCTCGGCTCGGCCCGGACCGGACGGTGAGGTATATTTACCCGTCCTCAGACGAGGTTGTGTTATTCTGCTGCCGTTCGAGGGTTGAAGAGGGACCGCAGTGCACCTCGTGTGTCAGCAACCACTGCTCACACTGCAGGGAGACCACAAACAGGGAGTTTAATATGCATGCCTATGAACACATACACACACTTTCTTTCGGGATGAGACTTTTGACCTTGAAATCTGTTATAAAGTAATAAAAGCATTGCAAAACCTGCTGTGTTGAATCATAGCCCTATGAAACGACCCATTCTTACAGACAATCTCGATCTCAGTGGCTGGACTTTGACCTGCAGTCATGGTACAATTTAACTCGCATCAAAAAGGCTGCTTTGAATCAAGACTCGTTAGTAGTGCAAGTTCTAGAAATCACAATTCCCTTGAATGTCTGTTTGTAAACTATTTTGGCCGGGTTAAAACGATATACAGCAGAAATTTGTCAGTTGCTATGTTTGAGTATCACTTTTATTTTGGTCCGATTCACAAACACCTGATTCTCATGAAGGGATTCTTAAAATGATTAATTCAAAAGATTCAAACTCTGAATGATTCAGTAAAGGGTTCGTCAGAATAATTCAAACTGGTAGGTTCAGAGCAGTTACTGAATCAACATCTGACTCACTTATTTGACTTACTTTTTAGTGATGTATATTCTGAAAGATTTGTGTAGTGAAGGTTTGTGAAATAACACACACACACACACTCACACACACACTCACACTCACACTCACACACTCACACTCACACACACACACACACACACACGCTCTCAAAAACACTCTCACACACACTTTCTCACTCACACACACTTTCTTTCGGGATGAGACTTTTGACCTTGAAATCTGTTATAAAGTAATAAAAGCATTGCAAAACCTGCTGTGTTGAATCATAGCCCTATGAAACGACCCATTCTTACAGACAATCTCGATCTCAGTGGCTGGACTTTGACCTGCAGTCATGGTACAATTTAACTCGCATCAAAAAGGCTGCTTTGAATCAAGACTCGTTAGTAGTGCAAGTTCTAGAAATCACAATTCCCTTGAATGTCTGTTTGTAAACTATTTTGGCCGGGTTAAAACGATATACAGCAGAAATTTGTCAGTTGCTATGTTTGAGTATCACTTTTATTTTGGTCCGATTCACAAACACCTGATTCTCATGAAGGGATTCTTAAAATGATTAATTCAAAAGATTCAAACTCTGAATGATTCAGTAAAGGGTTCGTCAGAATAATTCAAACTGGTAGGTTCAGAGCAGTTACTGAATCAACATCTGACTCACTTATTTGACTTACTTTTTAGTGATGTATATTCTGAAAGATTTGTGTAGTGAAGGTTTGTGAAATAATTTTTTTTTAATATGTTTACTTTAAATATTTTCACATTTTCAAAATAATGATGATATGACACTACCATTTGAAGGTTTTGGGGGTCCATTTTTAAAAGAAATTACTACTTTTATTCAGCATGGTTTCATTAAATAGATCAAGAGAGGCAGTAAAGATATTTGATTAATTCAAAAGATTCAAACTCTGAATGATTCAGTAAAGGGTTCGTCAGAATAATTCAAACTGGTAGGTTCAGAGCAGTTACTGAATCAACATCTGACTCACTTATTTGACTTACTTTTTAGTGATGTATATTCTGAAAGATTTGTGTAGTGAAGGTTTGTGAAATAATTTTTTTTTAATATGTTTACTTTAAATATTTTCACATTTTCAAAATAATGATGATATGACACTACCATTTGAAGGTTTTGGGGGTCCATTTTTAAAAGAAATTACTACTTTTATTCAGCATGGTTTCATTAAATAGATCAAGAGAGGCAGTAAAGATATTTATAATGTTACAAAAGATTTCTATTTCACATAAATGCTGTTCTTTCTATTTCTAACATTCTATTCATCAAGGGGAAAAAAAATCAGTTTCCACAAAAATATGAAATTGATAATACATTTTTCTTGACCAGCAAATCATTTTTTTTTTTCAAATTGAAAATTTTTCTTTTAAAAAGTTATTTTAAATTGTAATATTTCACAATATATGAAGACGCATTATTAATAACTATTTTAAAAATTCAAAACGTTTTAAAGTTTGACCCCCAGCTTTTGAATGGTAGTGTATATTGTTATCTAGAATTAAGAATATTGCCATAATACATTTTTGCTTATACAGCCTATTTCTATTTAGGTTTATGTGATAATACTGTCAGTATTATGAGTAGACTATTTTTAACTTGCAGCTGCTAAAAACATAAACAGAAAAAAAAAACTTGCTAAATACTTGTTTGTTAGAAGACTAGTATTTTATTACTAATGTTTTACAATAGTACAGTTATAATATTTCCGACATTACCTAATGTTTAAATTAGTTTTGGCAAAGTCAGCACAGGAAAACTTTGCACATTCTGTCTAGGCCTGCTCCTAATAAACACAGAAAGGAGTTGTTCAGCATCTTTTGTTGCATCACTAATCAGTGATTGGCCCGTTTAACGTCTGTTAGCCGTCCGCAGACAGGATGGAGGGATACAGAGATGCACAGACGAAGAGGAGGAGAGACTTGCGTCGCTTTATCCTCTTTGTGCAGGAGCTTTTCAAAAGAGAGGAGACGTGCAGAGGGGGTGATGGAGCGTGCGTCTTTAAATTAGAGAGAGGGAGAGGGAGACTTAACTGACTGAAGACAGATGACCATAAAAAGTTCACAGGAAACTTTGCCGTTGGTGGTGGGGGATGGAGACAAGATGGAGAGACGAGCGAAGGAGTCGTCAGAGGAGAGATGTGAGAGAGATGGAGGATGGGATGAGAGAGACAGGACAGAGATTATCAGATTAGTAGCTGGTAAGACTGCCTAATTGAGAGGCAAAGAGGCAGGTATAATGGCCTGGGTGGAGGAGACATTTTAGGTTGCTGTGGTCTTTAGCCATGCCAGAGTGTGTGTATATGTGTGTGTGTGTGTGTGTGTGTGTGTGTGTGTGTGTGTGTGTGTGTGTGTGTGTGTGTGTGTGTGTGTGTGTGTGTGTGTGTGTGTGTGTGTGTGTGTGTGTGTGTGTGTGTGTGTGTGTGTGTGTGTGTGTGTGTGTGTGTGTGTGTGTGTGTGTGTGTGTGTGTGTGTGTGTGTGTGTGTGTGTGTGTGTGTGTGTGTGTGGATGGATTTTAAGCACTGCCCCCGTGAAACACACCCAGCCTGCATGTCTTCTCCCACGTTAAAAAATATAACATTAATATGCAAAAAAAAAAAAAAAGCTTTTATATTGCACAAAGTCTCTGTAATTAAGTTTTCATTCACATATTTTAATGCACATTTTATGATAAAATTGCAAATTTGCACATAACATAACATAACCGTTTAGGGTCAGTATGATTAATAATAAAAAAAAAAAAACATTATTACTTCAAGCAAGGATGCATTAAACTGATCAAAAGTCACAGTAAATCATTTTATAAGTTTACAAAAAAGTTCTATTTCAAATAAATGCTCTTCTTTTGGACTGCAAAACTCTCCTGCAAACCTGCATCCCAAAAATATGAAGCAGCACAAACTGTTTTCAACATCGACAATAATAAATGTTTCTTGAGCAGCTTTCTGTACAAAAAATCATTTGAAGATTCAGCTTTGCCATCATAGGAATAAATTAAAATAGAAAACAGTTATTCTAAATTGTAATAATATTTCACAAAATTAATGTTTTTGCTGTATTTTTGATCAAATTATTGCAGCCTTGGTGAGCAGAAAAGACTTCTTTTAAAAACATGAAGAAAAAAAATCAACAGTATCAACAGTAGCTTAGATTCTTATATACACATGAAAATAGTCATGTGACTTTGTCTGTCTTGTGGCTTAATTTGCTGTCATTCCCATTAATTACTGAAGCACAAGTGCAGAAGTTATGCCACCAAGTTTAATGCTGTTTTTATAGTTTGTTCAAATCTATAACCTTAAGTATAAGCACCAGTAATAGTGAGACTTCCTTTGCGAACACAGCTAATTAGATGAGTCACTAGATTTAGACTTAAAAAAGTTTTTTTTAGAAAAAAGTTAAAGCAGTTGCAAAAAAAAAAAATAGAGAGATGCCCTGCGATGAACCACAATTAACTGCTACAGGTTACACTTCATTCCTTCATGCCAGGAAATCGTTTAATTTAGGCTAAATTTCTGTTTAATGAGTGCAGGTATTGGCTACATCCATTTTTGGGTTAAACCTGTTTGTGTACGCACACCATGTGATTACCTCCGCCTCCGTGTGTGAGCATGAGCACTTCACTCTGTGTGTGTGTGTGTGTGTGTGTGTGTGTGTGTGTGTGAAAGAATGCTACTGCTCTGTTTCAGGGCTGGATGACAGGCACGGACAAGTGCAGGAACCGACGTGTTTGAGAGCAGTTGGCGCGCTGAGATAGCTCCGCTCTCTGCCTAGCACATCACCCCTCAATATCAGTTTCAATAGCGAGAGGCCAAGATTTGGTGTGAATCTCACAGTAGTCAGAGGAGGAAATAAAAGGAGAGACAAAGTGAGGAATACATCAGCAAATGAGCAGGCCAGATTGGTTTTACACAGCCAGCATCCTTGATGCATTACCACTGTGATTTAACAAGTGTATTTTTTTTAAAGTAAAAAATATATAATACATTTGTAGCAAAGTAGCTTCCATATTACACCCAAGTCTCTGTAACAGAGATTCCATTCACATCTTTTAATGCACATTTTAGGATAAGATTGCAAATTTGCATATAAACTAAGTTTATGGTAACACATTTACCAAATACACTACCGTTGATAAGTTTAGGGTCAGTATGATGACAAGGATGCATAAAACTGATCAAAAGTGGCAGTAAATAATTTTACAAGTTTACAAAATGTTCTATTTTAAACAAATGCTCATCTTTTGGACTTTATGTTCAAAGAACCCTGCAAAACTGTATCACAAAAATATATAGCAGCACAAACTGTTTTCAACATCGATAATAAATGTTTATTGAGCAGCAAATAAGCATATTAGAATGATTTATGTAAAAAAAAATTGAAAATTCAGATTTTCCATCATAGGAATTTTTGCTGTATTTTTGACTAAATGAATGCAGCCTTGGTAATCAGAAG